ACACACACACACACACACACACACACACACACACACACACACACAGAGCAAAGGATTAAGAGAGGCAAAAACAGTAAATTCCACTAGACTAAGACGTGAGCGCAGTAACAGTTGCACAAAACGTGCGGAGTCCTCTCTGCCGGTCTCCCGGCCGCCCTCCCGGCCACCGTACTCTTCCGGTCCCAGAATCCCCGGCAACGGAAGTTGTCGCTTTCCGTCGGAGCTCTCGGCTGCCAGTGGTGTAGGAGGCTCGCCGTAGCTATGGGCAGTAGCGGCGATGGTGGCTGCGTCCCAGAGCAGGAAAACTCCGTACTATTTCGGCGCGGTACAGGCCAGGTGAGCTCGGGGGCGCGAGCGCTCGGGACGCTGTTCGCTCGCTGTGGGGCTGTGGTCGTCCACGTGTTTCTTCATCTTTCCGCATTCCCCTTCCTGGGATCCCCTGCTCGCAAGCTCCTACCTCGCACAGCGTGGGCGCGTTGGTGGCTTTAGCCAAGACCCTACTGCAACTTCATTTGTTCCTTCTCCTGACCGAGGGGCCTGTGCAAGTGATCAGACTTAAATAAAAATGTCAGTGTACTCAGGCTACAGTGTTTGGGTATGCACAGTTGAGGATATACTCAGTAATCAAGGTGGATTCCAAAAAGGAGGTCTTCAGAGAAATGACAAGGATAACTAGAAGTTGTCTTGGACAACTGAACAGACAAGTGGTTTTTTACTGTGAGGTACTGAAGTGGGGAAGAAGGAAGACTCCAGGTACAACAGCAGCTCAATCTTGAGCGGGGCACATAGGGGTGAAATCTGATTCGATAGAAGCTGTGCGTGTTGGCACAAATCTGTAATCCCAGCAATCTGGGAAGCCAAGGCAGGAGGATTTCAAATTTGACCCCACCTCGGGCAACTTGCCCATCTATCTGACACCCTGTCTTAAGAGAAAAAGCGGGGGCTGGTGATGTTGCTCAGTGTGAAGGCTGTGGGTTCAATCCTAATAGAAGAAAAATACTAAAAAGTGGTAGAAAAGTATTTAGGGCAACATCTATAAATGACCATTTTGAGCAGCTTTGTTGTAAATAGAGCCTGGAGAAGTTAGGTGTGAGATGGAAGGGAAAGGAGGTAAAGAAGGTTTTAAGCTGTGTCTGCTTAATGGTACTTGGGTTTGAATCAAAATTTTCATTTTGAGACAGGGTATCCATCAATTGCCCAAGCTGGGCTGGGGCCTGTAGCCCTCCTGCCTCGGCCTCCTGAGTCGGTGGGAATGCACATGTGCACCACCACCATGCCCACCTATTATTAGTGTGTATTATACACAGGGGTAAATGCTATTACTTTTTCATTTTTTTGGGTAAATGGTTAGATGTGGGGTAGGTGCGTTTTAAGTCTCTTTATTTTGCAGCACTAGAATTTGAACCCAGAGCTTTCATACTGAACTACATTGCCAACCTTTTGTATTTCTTAACAGGGTCTGCAATGTAATTGAGTCTGCTCTTGAATTCACTACGTGCTGGGACTACAGGAGTGTGTTACCATGGCCAGCTATATTTTAAATCTTTAAGAAGCTGCCAAATCCTTCTCAATGGGTTTACCATTTTGCATTCTGTCCAGCAGTGTATGAAAGTTCCTTTCATTTTTTTGAAATTTCCTTTTTGATGTCCTTGCCAACATTAGATACCGTCAGTCATTAATTTTACAGTTGTAAGTGTATAGTTTTAATTAGCACTTCTCTAATGACTAGTGATAATGATTGCTGACTTTTGTGCTTATTTGCTATTCGTATGTATTTGGTAAAGGATCTGTTCAAGTTATTTGTGTGTGTCCTTCACTACCCCCACCTTTTTTTTTTTTTTTTTTAAACTAAGAGAAGATGATTTATTTGAAGGTGGAGAAAAAAGGGAGAGAGATGATAGCTACTCTGGATGAGTAGGGAGCATTCAAAAGTGAAATACTCCACCCCACCCCCCCCCACACCCATTTTTGAGACAGGGTCTTACATTATAGTTCATGCTGGCCTTGAACTCACTGTATCCCAGACTGGCCTCAAACTTAGTGACCCTCCTGCCTCAGCCTCCTGTGTGCCAGGATTCAGGTATGCAGCATCACACCTACCTAGCTGCCCTTTTTTAAATTGGATTCTGTTTCTGTTGAGGTTTGAAAGCTCTTTAGTTGTGTTTAGTGACACTGAATTAAGATAGCTCTTGGTACTGTCCAGTACATTTTTTTTTTTAAATGTATTTAGTACAGGGTCTAAAGTAGGGTCTCACTACACAGCTTAGACTCGGGGGACCTGGCCCTAGCTCAGTCCTTTAAGTGGCTGCTTCCACAAAGCTGTCAGCCTCAGGTTGCTGTAGTTCTATCCCCACAACACTCCAGCTAGCCAAAAGTGCCCTGAAGTCATTCGAGGAGCAAAAAAAAACCAAAAAACCCTTATTCCATTTGGGCTGGGGAGATGGCTCAGTAGAATAAGCACTTCCCTGGCAAGCGCAAGGGCCCGAGTTCAATCCCCAGTTCCGCAAAAAAAAAAAAAGTATGTTTAGACTCGTAGTGATCCTCCTCTTTTCAGCCTCCTAAGTGCTGAAATTATAGGTGCACACCACCACACATAGTCTCAGCGTGTCTCAGGAGCAGGGCCAGTAAAGCATGCAGGGATGGAACACTGGTCCCTCTGTCTGCCTAAGCAGGTGCTTTAATCTGCTGAGCTATCTGGCCCCCTTTGTCCAGTACATTTTTGATGAAACCTATCTAAATATGAATTGTTTCTATTACTTTCTCTTCCCAGAGTGATGATTCTGACATTTGGGATGATACAGCATTGATAAAAGCATATGATAAAGCTGTTGCTTCCTTTAAGGTATGACCTGTTTACTCTGTTTATGCATGGAGGATGAGTAGGATTTCACACTTCTAGGATGTGAACTGTGATTCCATGACACAGACACAGTTGTCCAGCATCATTTCTTACAAGTCTGAGACCCTCAGTGTTACTTAGCACCAGGTATGGCTCATCACTTGTCCAGGGAACACCAGATGAGCACACAAAGCACAGATTTGCACAGAACACCAGGTGTGCAAATCTAGTCCCTTCCCACAGGTGCTCTTGTAGCCTGAGGCAAAGATCAGAACAGCATCCTTGCATCTGTGCTCTACAGTTCATGCTGTGCTTCTATTAAGCACTGGGAGTTGATTAAGGAGGTGTTTCCAAAAGAGTTCTTTCATCTACGAGGGAATAGGGTAGGTGTGGAATGGAGTCAGCGATGCTGAGGCTGAGGCAGTCTTAAGAAAAGGAGGGTAGAGGTTGGGGAAAAGGTAGTTTCCTTTTTTATGTTGAATTTGAGTATGAAGATGTTAATGTGGTAATTGGAAATGTTGGATCAAACTAAGGAGAAAATTAAAAGCTAGATAGTGGCTTTGGGAAGTCTGTTTTTGTAGAGGTTACAACAGAAATCATAGGAATAAATGCCCTTCAGTGGGTAAAGGAGAATGACCAAGTCTTGCACTTGGGAGTGCCTAAGTGCATGACTTGATCAGGGAAGTCACAGAAGCACCAGGGCCTTATCTAAGGTATGCTGAGTACCAAAAAGAAAGAGGTACCGGGGCAAGGTGGCTCACACTTATAATGCCAGCACTATGGGAGGCTGAGGCGGCAAGATTGCAAGCTTAAGCCCAGCCTGGGTGACTTGCCACTTAAGGGGACCCCATGGAGGAGGAGGAGGGCAAGGGGACAGAGTGGAAGATCAACAAGATCGGCTGTTACAGAGGTTGAAAGCACAGAGATCTCACTAAAAAGTTCTTCAGAGCCAATAATCCAATGCACAATGGCTTCAAGAGCAGTTCCAGTAGAATGGAGTGATCCAGAAAGAAAGCAGAGGCTTTATGAGGTGGTGGGGCCTGAGAGTTATGCTTTGACTCTTTAATATGTGTCATTCTGTGACATGTACACTTCTGTTCCTATCCTCATAGCATGCGCTGAAGAATGGTGACATTTCAGATAAACCACAAGGTGAAACTTCAGGCAAACCAAAAGGCATACCCAGAAGAAAACCTGTTAAGAAGAATAAAAGCCAGAAGAAGAATACCACAACTCCCTCAAAACAGGTTATTTTAAAATACTGAGATTTACCCTCAAAGCATTTGTTACTGTCCTTATTAAAGGACGTCTTGCACTTGAACTGTTAGTAGAATGATTACGGTATCGTTGGCATGTAATCAGAACTTACACTGCAGCTTGACAGCTTGCTGATGTTGTGGCGCATGCGTGTTGTTAATGGAAATATAAGGAATTGGGCAGGGATGTTTGCTTGGAGGGTGAAGGAGGAGACAGCAGTGCTGCATGAGGAGAACCTGAGCTTCACAAGCTGCATCGGCAGCATTTTACTTCTCACTCTGAGAGGGATATCTTTGTTTTTTTCTTTTTCAAAAACTAAAGCTGTCAATTCCAGAGAACCAAAAATTCTGGGTAGTTACCTTCTTTAGTTCAATATAGTAAGCCAGAAGCTCAGTATTTTGATGTCTCAGTTCAGCATTGGCTCCATCGCTAACAGGAGAGGAGAATGAGCCCTAGGCGAGCGGCTGCAGACCTGAGGGCTGGACACCATGGGTACCTCTGTCCTTCCTGCTCTGCACAGTGATGTGGAAGGCAGACTGGGACAGCGGGTTACAGGTGGGGAGGTGAGGCTCCATGTGACCGGTGCTCTTGTCCATGTTTGTACACACACAGAGGAGTTGGAGCAGAGATCTGTCTGGTTTGGCCCAAGCCTTGTGACCGTACAGTTCTGCTTTCCATCCCCAGCCCCATCCCCATCCCTATCCCTGGAGCCTTCTCTGTGTGCTGTGCCCTCAAGCAAAATGTCATAGTTTGCGCAATATGTTTCTGTGATTTCTCTTGTAGTGGAAAGTGGGTGACAGGTGTTCAGCTGTTTGGTCAGAAGATGGTTGCGTTTACCCAGCTACCATTGCTTCTGTGGATTTGAAGAGAGAAACCTGTGTTGTGGTCTACACTGGCTATGGAAACAGAGAGGAGCAGAATCTGTCTGATTTGCTTCCTCTGAGCTCAGAATCAGCTAACAACATGGAACAGAATGCTCAGGAGGTAAAGGCAGAACGCTTCTTATTAGAAGCAGAGGCTAGATGAGACACTACACAGAGTAACTAGTTGGCTGTTTGACACAGATGTATTCAAGTCTTCTTAACACCTTTGAGAACGAAAACATGTTTTGTTTTTTAAAGAATGAAAATGAAAGTCAAGTTTCAACAGATGAAAGTGAGAACTCTTCCAAGTCTCCAGGAAGTAAACCAGGCACTGTCAGGTCAAAAGCCACACCTTGGAGCTCCTTTTTCCCTCCACCACCCCCTGCTCCTGGCTCTGGATCGGGACCTGGAAAGGTAAACTCCCCAGAAAAGTTTCAGGACATAATTTATACTGAGGCTCTGGGGGATGTGACTTTCCTGTGAAACTTGTATTCTCTCTTTTTTTTTTTTTTTTTGCAGAGCCGGGGATTGAACTCAGGCCCTGCGCTTGCCAGGCAAGCCCTTATTCTACTGAGCTATCTCCCCGGCCTTTTGTAGTTCTCTTTTACCCTGTCCTGTGTTTTTTTTTTTTGGGGGGGGGGCATTTTTGAGGTGGGAGTCATACATTGCCAGGGATAGCCTCAAGCTCTGGCTCCCCTGCCTCAGCCTTCTGAGCAGCTGGTATTCCTGGTTTGAAAAGGAAATAAGAGAGTGATGCAAATTACTTTATACTGAAAGACTTAGAGAACTTACAATACTTCTGTGTCAGCTGGATGATCTGGTATAGTTCCCCATGTCACTTATATCAAATAGTGCTTAGTCTAGTGTAGTTAAAGTCCTAAGGTGTCTCAGATTGTTTCCTAGAGTTAAAATGTACATTTATGTATTGTTTTATTGGTTATAAATTACAAAAATCAACTTTTTTTTTTAAATATTTATTTATTTCTCTGTGTGTGTGTGTGTGTGTGTGTGGCCAGCTCAGCCCACCAGGGGGCAGGGCTGGCTGGCATGTGGTGCTGGGGGATTGAACCGTGGTCCCTGTGCTTTGCTAAGCTTATTCTAAGTAGGTGCTTTAGACCACTGAGCCATCTCACCAGCCCCACAAAAATCAACTTTTTAAAAAAATTTTACTGTAGGCTAAATAAGCCTCAAACCCAAGGGAAAGTCCTTTCCAGTTATTGTGTGATACAGTGATTTCTTCCTTGGAGATCTGGTGGTCATAATAAGTTTTGAAAATCAAGCATGACCTTTTAAGCTTTTCCCTAAGATTTTCCATAGTGATTTTCTTTTCTTTTTTCTTTTCTTTTTTTTTTTTTTTTTTTTGGTGGAACTGGGGATTGAACTCAGACCCTTGCACTTACCAGGGCCCGTAGGCATTTTCTTTTTGAGTGTTACACTGTGAGTGGTCCCTCACTTATTATGGAGGCTACTTCCAGACACCTCCGTGATAAGTGGAAATCAGCAAAGAAGGACGTTACCTTTATTTTAGTATTTGTATATATATATATGTTAAGGCTTTGTAAACCCTTTTCATGCTCTTATCCACACTTTTAAAAACACTTCTAATGTTCTTAAGTATTTTCTAAACTTACCAATGTAATGTTAACATCATATGTATACTGTATGGTACTGAAAAATCACACGATATAGCAAAAAATCAGCGATACTTTAGAGTAATATTTTTTTTTAAACCCACAAAATAGGCCGGGGAGATGGCTCAGCAGAATAAGCACTTGCCTGGCAAGCACAAGGGCCTCAGTTTAATCCTGGGTTCTGCCAAAAAAAACCAAAAAAGAAAAATCAGGAAAAAAAAAAGCCATGAAATAGTCCGTGAAAGTCAAACTGAGAAATAGCGAGGGGCTGCTGTACTAGTTTCAGAAGCTCTTGTGCATTGCGATCCACTGATGTGCTTGCTGGCTTTCGTCAGATGAGAGCGTTGCTAGTTTCATAATGCGTGCTACAACTGAGCAACGTGTGAAGCTCCCAGGTGGCCCCTGAAGGTTGCACTGTGTAGTGAGTGAAAGTAGGGGGCTGAATGCGCTTCTGTGACCGAAGGATCTTACTCAACACCATCTCGGACTTACGGGAGAGGTGCTAGGGATAAAGACCTGGGCTGCTTGCCTGCTGGGCCAGCACCATGGCGCTGGGCAGTTCTGGCAGCCTCAGCATCTACCGAACCTTCAGTTTACTTCTCCAATATGTGTATCTGAAGGAAATGAGACACCTAAGAGTTACCATTTAACTTACACATCTACTGGACTTCAGGGTTTTTTGCCATTTAATCTTTTATTTTAATTTTAATCTTTTCAATATTATAATACAGTTATTACTCTAGGTAACTATTTTTCTTGCTTTTGG